GGAATATTATTCGATATTTTGATGTTTTTCATGCGTAGTTAAATGAAGATTTGATTAAATGAAGATTTCTTATTCTTAAATTCTCTCTCTGTCTCTCTGTAGGTAGAATTTTTATTTACAGAGGAATATTATTCGATATTTTGATGTTTTTGATGCGTAGTTAAATGAAGATTTGGTTAAATGAAGATTTCTTATTCTTAAATTCTCTCTCTGTCTCTCTGTAGGTAGAATTTTTATTTACAGAGGAATATTATTCGATATTTTGATGTTTTTCATGCGTAGTACTTTATATTTATTTGAGAAAGATGTGTAATACTTCCAGTATCGAAACATTCTGATAAAAGAAGAGTGTTTCAGAATTGGCCCTTTCGTCGAGTGGAAACGTTTCCAACGAGTGTATCGTGCCTAATCCAATGTGTACTAAAATACACTGAAACAATACTAAAGGAGAATTGTCAGGATTATTGCTTCTCAACGAGATAGAGTTTTACGTAACATTGGGATTTATGTGTCCAGAAAGAACAGACAAAATATTTTAGATCTTGGCTGTGACGTTCCAAATCCATTCGCCAAACTGAATCTCTCCAATTTCGAAATCAACATTTGTCCAGTAATCAGTAATTTCCAATGTAATAAACCAAAGATACAAAACAAAGCGACAAGTTTCACGGAGGTGGTATCCCGCGTACCATTTCAATCCAATGAAATGAAGAGAGAATGAGGAGCTTGCTCAAGAAATAAGCCTGCGAAAGGAAGCTCGGGACGTTCTCTTGCGATGCATAAATAAGCCGTGGAACGATTAGGAAACGCGTAGAGCTGATCTAGAAGCGGGTTATGAATAACACCGGTGCACACATAGCCGACAACTATATATATTATAACTATAAATACAAAATGAATATTTCCAACGAATGAAATATATCACTGAACAATTCATTGTGTGTGAAGTCTACAGCGTGAATATACATGAACACGTCGATTTTTTTCTATACACCTCGTACAATTATATAATCAAAACATTTTG